ATCTCTGGGACGCATTTAAGGCAGTCTCTAGAGGAAAATATATAGCAGTAAGTGCCCACATGAGAAGAGTGGGGAGATCCAAAATTGACACCCTATCATCAAAATTGAAAGAGCTAGAGGAGCAAGATCAAAAAAACTCAAAACCTAGCAGAAGACAAGAAATAACTAAGATCAGAGCTGAAATGAAGGAGATAGAGACACGAAAAACCCTTCAAAAAAATCAATAAATCCAGGAGCCAGTTTTTCGAAAAGATCAACAAAATAGACAGACCACTAGCCAGATTAATTTAAAAAAGAGAGAGAATAACCAAATAGATGCAATAATAAACGATAAAGGGGAAATCACCACAGTTCCCACAGAAATTCAAACCATCATCAGAGAATATTACAAACAACACTATGCACATAAACTAGTAAACCTGGAAGAAATGGATAAATTCCTGGACACTTGCATCCTCCCAAGCCTAAACCAGGAAGAAGTCGAAACCATGAATAGACCAGAAACAAGATCTGAAGTTGAGGCAGCAATTACGAGCCTACCACACACAAAAAAAGCCCGAGTCCAGATAGGTTCACAGCTGAATTCTACCAGACACAAAAAGAGGAACTGTCATCATACCTCCTGAAACTATTCCAAATAATCCAAAAAGAGGGAATCCTTCCCAAATCATTTTATGAGATCAACATCATCCTGATACCAAAACCCGGCAGAAACTCAACAAGAAAAGAAAACTTCAGGCCAATATCCATGATGAACATAGATGCAAAAATCTTCAATAAAATACTGGCAAGCCTATTGCAACAGCACATCAAAAAGCTTATCCATCAGGATCAAGTAGGATTCATCCCGGGGATGCAAGGCTGGTTCAACATACGCAAGTCTATAAATGTAATTCACCACATAAACAGAACCAAAAACAAAAACCACATGATTATCTCAATTGATTCAGAGAAGGCCTTTGACAAAAATTCAACAGCCCTTTATGCTAAAAACCCTCAATAAACTTGGTATTGATGGAATGTATCTCAGAATAATAAAAGCTATTTATGACAAACAAACAGCCAATATCATACTGAATGAGCAAAAACTGGAAGCATTCCCTTTGAAATCTGGCACTAGACAAGGATGCCTTCTCTTACCACTCCTATTCAATATAGTACTGGAATTTCTAGCCAGAGCAATCAGGCAAGAAAAAGAAATAAAGCGTGTTCAAATAGGAAAGGAGGAAGCCAAATTGTCTCTATTTGCAGATGACATGATAGTATATCTAGAAGACCCCATTGTCTCACCCCAAAATCTCCTGAAACTGATAAGCAACTTCAGCAAAGTCTCAGGATATAAAATCAATGTGCAAAAAGCATTCCTATACACCAACTTAAAGAGTGCCAAATCAAGAATGAACTGCCATTCACAATTGCTACAAAGAGAATAAAATACCTAGGAATACAACTAACAAGGAATGTAAAGGACCTCTTCGAGGAGAACTACAAACCACTGCTCAACGAAATCAGAGAGGACACAAACAGATGGAGAAACATTCCATGTTCATGGTTAGGAAGAATTAATATCGTGAAAATGGCCATACTGCCCAAAGTGATTTACAGATTCAACGCTATCTCCATCAAGCTACCAATGACCTTCTTCACAGAACTAGAAGAAACTACCTTAAACTTCATATGGAACCAAAAGAGAGCCTGCATAGCCAAGTCAATTATAAGCAAAAAGAACACAGCAGGAGGCATCACACTACCAGACTTCAAACTATACTACAAGGCTACAGTAATCAAAACAGCATGGTACTGGTACCAAAACAGAGATATAGACCAATGGAACAGAACAGAGGCATCAGAGGCAACACAACATATCTACAACCATACAATCTTTGATAAACCTGACAAAAACAAGCAATGGGGAAAGGATTCCCTGTTTAATAAATGGTGTTGGGAAAACTGGCTAGCCATGTGCAGAAAGCAGAAACTGGACCCCTCCCTGACACCTTACACTAAAGTTAACTCCAGACGGATTAAAGACTTAAACATAAGACCTAACACCATAAAACCCCTAGAAGAAAATCTAGGCAAAACCATTCAGGACATAAGAGTAGGCAAGGACTTCATGACCAAAACACCAAAAGCATTGGCAACAAAAGCCCAAATAGACAAATGGGACCTAATTAAACTCCACAGCTTCTGCATGGCAAAAGAAACAGTCATTAGAGTGAATCGGCAACCAACAAAATGGGAAAAAATTTTTTCAGTTTACCCATCTGACAAAGGGCTGATATCCAGAATTTACAAGGAACTAAAACAGATTTACAAGAAAAAAACAAACAAGCTCATTCAAAAGTGGGCAAAGGATATGAACAGACACTTTACAAAAGAAGACACACATGAGGCCAACAAACATATGAAAAAATGCTCATCATCACTGATCATTAGAGAAATGCAAATCAAAACTACATTGAGATGCCATCTCATGCCAATTAGAATGGCGATCATTAAGAACCTGGAGAACATCATTCCCAGCAAACTGACACAAGAACAGAAAATGAAATACCGCATGTTCTCACTCATAGGCAAGTGTTGAACAGTAAGAACACATGGACACAGGGAGGGGAGCACTACACACTGGGGTCTGTTGGGGGGAATAGGGGAGGGACAGCAGGGGGTGGGGAGTTGGGGAGAGATAGCATGGGGAGAAATGCCAGATATAGGTGAAGGGGAGGAAGGCAGCAAATCACACTGCCACATGTGTACCTAAGCAACTATCTTGCATGTTCTTCACATGTACCCCAAAACCTAAAATGCAATTAAAAAAAAAGAAAGAAAAGTTATCAAACTATTAATTTGCTGATAAACACTTTCTAAAAATATGAATTGTGAAGCTTTTTAAAATGCTTAAAGGGAATTGCAGGTGGCACTAAACAGCTCACAGCAGGAGTAGTACTAATCTATATATTGCTTTTATAATGAAAAACAAGAAATAAAAACTATTTCTTTGCTTTCCTTTTTCTTTTTTTTTGTAAAGTAAAAACTGCTGAGTAGTTGAGAGATTGGGGAGGCAGAACTTGAAAAGCTGAACACCAGAATTGAGCTACTTCTTGCCTTTCATCAAATGAATCTTCACTCCCTTTCCATTAGTTCCATTATGACAAATTCTCGTATTTGCTTGAATCTTAACCTAGTTAATTTCAAGGGTTAGTCCAGGGTTGTTTCCTTAAAGGGTCAGCAGCCTCTAAGATGGCTCCAGTGAGTCCTACCTTCTGGAACTCATGCCACTGTGTAATCCCCTACCTTTGAAGGTAGGCTGGACCTAGTGACTTGCTTCTAACAGAATAGTCAAGAGTGATGGGCTGTCACTTCTAAGACTAGGCATGGGAGACTCTGACTTCTGTCTTGCTGGGATGTTCTCTCTGACTCTTTGTGCTTGCTGGCTCTAATGAAGCCAGCTGCTCTCTCATGAGAGGCAGCTTAGACAGGTTCACATGGCAAGGCATTGAGGGTGGCCTCCAAACAACAGCTACAGAAAAACTGAATTCTGCAAATAACCACGTGAGTAATCTTGGAAGTGAATCCATCCTAGTGGAACCTTGATATGACTACACCCAGGGGTGACTCTGACCCAGAGGACCCAGGTGAGCCATTCCTGGACCCCTGACCCACAGAAATGGTAACATAATAACTATTGTGTTAAGCCACTGAGTTTGGGGAAATTCGTTACTCAGTAAAAGATAACTATACGCCCTATTTTTGATATTTTATTATATTGTCTGCCATCTGGAATAAGGGTTACTAATTAGTAGTTAATATGTTGTACAAAAATTTCATTAAATAGTATTGGGACACAGAAAACAATTACCCAAATATGGTGCTTCATCATGCTGAGTGCTTTGAAAATTGAAAGGCCTCCGAAATAAGCCTCAGAAGCAGGGTTTCTCTCTGACCTTTTCCACGTCTCCCTGTCTCTCTGACCCACTTTACAGAAGTATCAGGAGAGACTCTTTAAATTTTCCTATCTGACTAAGAAAGTTTAAATGTAATTGTCTTAAGACTCCCTCCCTAGAGATCGATTCAAATAACCAGGAAAAATCAACAGAGAAGAGACTAGAATCATCACCTGCCCAGAAAAACTTTTTATCTGTTCTCCTAAGGAAGGACAGCTCCACGAGATTACCTGGGGGACTTCATCTGCATAAAAAAATAAGAGAACCTTTGTTCCTGTGCAGCTTCATCCCTCACCTTCCCCTGAGGTCTGCTTCCCATCGCCCTGGTCTATTCATTCTTCCTAATGATTTGCTGTGCCTCAAAATAACTGTGTACATTCTCCGTCTCCCATGTCCCCTCTGGAAAAGGGTATATAAGCTTCTGTATTGCACTGGGTAATTGAGTAATCACTCTGTGACCCTTGCCTGTGCGTGTTAATACATTTGCATGCCTTGTCTCTTATTAATCTACTTTTTGTCAGTTGATTTTCAGTAAGCCTTCAGAGAAGGGATGGGAGGTTTTCCCTCAGCCCCTACAATAGTTTATTGAAATATACTATTCAGGCTCACTGAATAGTGTATTTCACTGCAAATAGTTGATTTTCAGTGACGCTTCAGAGATGTTTTCCCTCAGCCCTACGATAGTATTTTATGTATTAATAGCTTATTCTTCAGACCATCTAAGTGTCATATCGTTGGTGAGTGTCTACCATATGCACAGCACCATGCTGGTGCACTAACACTACCAGCATTTTTCTTGTTTCCTATAGAGTCTCTATAGTAAATCTTTCTTTGCTTTTTCCCACCTTTGACTTATGTTTCAGTTGTTTAAGTGTCAAGAAGCAGTTGTCAGTCCACAAGCAGCAGCTAAATTACTGAACAAAATTAAGATGGATACAGCACTATAAAATGGCCATTTGAATGCATGTGAAATAGACTACTTTCTGAGGGTCATTAAAAGCTGAGTCCACAGGAGCTCGGCTCGGCTCTGCATACGCGGGCTGTCTCTCTCAGTACCTGCTTTGACTGATGAAGTCACTGAGCACTGTTTTCATTTTCTCTTCAGGTGCCTCCTCTGAAATCTTAATCAATTCTCTCATTTCTTCTATACTTTCTTCCTGAAAACAAACCACAGGGGTGGAGACATGAGGTGGTGGGAGTGAGATTGGTTGTAGAGATACTCATTGTAATGTATTAGAAATAACAGCTAGCTAAATGAAGGAAGATTTCTCTAGTTTTCTTGTACTTGAGTTGGGAAATGCTACTGCATTCTAACGTCGAATCTTCCTTTTTATAAGTGGAGTCGGTCCAGTCCTGTTCAAACTCATTTTTTCTATTGTAGATCCATTCCCTAACTGGGTACCATTCATTTAGATTTCTACCCTCTGGGGAAACCTAATAATGTGGGAAATAGCTAACAATGTACAGTAATTGGATATAATTACCAAAACTTCAAAAGTAATGTTTTACATAGGAATATAATCATATTGAATAATCTCTGAAATTAAAGGGTTCCCTGTTCTCTAATTACATGAGTTTTGGGTCAGGTAATGAGACAGATTGTATATGACAATGGCCCTATGCTTATATACTTAATAATTAGACTTTTCTTTTGGGACTAAATTCTAGAATTCTATTTAGTGGCCTGGAGGAAAATGGCACCTCAGGGGAAATACATGTGTTACTATTAGAGTTTAAAAAACTGTATTCTCTACCATAACCCACAGTCCGGTGCCTGGGGACATGTGTTCCCCTCTTTACACCTTCACTATAAGAATAGGCAACACTGTGGCATAGTTAAGGATTTGGGCTCTGGGGTCAACTCCAGACTCTAACACTTATAAGTGAACTAATCTATTTATGCCCAATTTCCTCATCTGTAGAATGGAATAATAACAGAACCCAACTACAACACTATAGCGGGGTGTGAATATCTTCAAACAGCATGTGGTAGTTAGTAAACACTCAGTCATGTTTCCCACGGTGGTTAGCCACGATATGCTAAGCATGGCAGGGAGGCCAACACCGAGGAAGGAACTAGAAGTGAATGTCACTATGGCTTCCAGGAGAAATTCTGATCTGCTTTGTCAAGACTCTGTGAGATAAAAGACCTGTTCTGTCTGAAGGAGAAGTAAGGCCAGCCCAACCAAGACAGTCTGTGACCTCCAAATGCTGTGACCCCAGACTAGGCCTCCTGACTCCTTTCAGAGTTTATCTCCATGATGCCTGGAATCCCGATGGTCAGAGACAATACTTTGTTTTACACACTTAGAGACGATGATTATAAAGCAAATGGGACAGAGAAATTTGTTGTTGACTTAGCATCTTTTTTTTGTTTTTTTTGAGATGGAGTTTTGCTCTTGTTACCCAGGCTGGAGTGCAATGGCGCGATCTTGGCTCACCGCAACCTCCGCCTCCTGGGTTCAGGCAATTCTCCTGCCTCAGCCTCCTGAGTAGCTGGGATTACAGGGACACGCCACCATGCTCAGCTAATTTTTTGTATTTTTAGTAGAGACTGGGTTTCGCCATGTTGACGAGGATGGTCTCAATCTCTTGACCTCGTGATCTACCCACCTCGGCCTCCCAAACTGCTGGGATTACAGGCGTGAGCCACTGTGCCCAGCCAGCATCAGTTTTAATGGAACAGGAGGGACAAGACAAGAGTGGTCTGGTGAGGCATGTGGGATGGAGTAGTGGGAGCATGGGAGTAGGAGAGAAGGGTTTGCAAAGGGGAGGTGCAAGATGTCAGAGAAATAGAGGTCCCAGCCTTCTCTCCCTCCTGGGGCAGCTTAGGTGGGAAAATCTAGCACTGACTGCATATTAATTGGCACTATTTACAGTATAAAACACTTCCATATATTCAATTTCCCAAATAGTAATTTAGTCCCTATCAGGTTCCAAGTATTAAGCTAAATGCCATAGAAATAGTGGCATGTAGTTATTGAACAATAAACACACAAATATATTGTGAACTATGATAAGAACTTCAAAGGAAAAGAAAAGAGCTCATGCCTGTAAGCCTAGCAATCTGGAAGGCTGAGGCAGGAAGATTGCTTAAGCCCAGGAATTCCAGACCAGCCTGGGTAACACAGTGAGATCTTGTCTCTACAAGAAAAAAAAAAGGGTCAGGCATGGTGGTGTGTGTGTACCTGTAGTTCCAACTATTTGATATGCTGAGGTGGGAGGCTTTACCTAGCCTGGGAGTTCAAGACCAGTCTGGGCAACACAGTGAGACTCCATCTCTACAAAAAATTTTAAAATTAGTCACATTTGGTGGTACATGCCTCTGGCCCCAGCTACATAGGAGGCTGAGGCAGGAGGATTACTTGAGCCTAGAAGGTCAAGGCTGCAGTGAGCTGTGATTGTGCCACTGCATTCCAGCCTGAGTGACAAATCAAGACCACCCTTCTCAAAAAAAGAAAAGAAAAAGAAAACAAACAGGGTGTTATATAAGAAGGTAAGGGGTTAGAAGTGTCAGAATCTTCCCTGAGGAAGTCTGAAACTGAGCTGCTGAGCCCTGGAATTTGGCTGGGTTACAAGAAGACTGGAGAGAGGAAAAGTAACAGAGGAACCCTCGTTGTGGTGACTGCAAGGCTTAAAGGAACTTGGTTTCCTCAAGAGACACAAAGGAGACCAGCATGGTTAGAACAAAGTGAGGGAGGAAGAACATAAGAAAAATGGGGCTGTAGAGGTAGGCAGGGCCTGATCTTGTAGGGAGTTGTCCGCCATGCCAGGGACTTAGGACTTTTTATTAGTTGAAGCCAGGATCTACATATTTTGAGGGAAAGTTGTCAACTCCTGCCCTTTGGAGATTAGAAAAACAGCCTACACCTAAATCCTAAAACAGCCAGAAGCAGAGCATGGATTTGAATTCAGGTAGTTTGATTGAAGACCAGGAATTTTACAAAATGTAGTCTCATTCCCCTAGATTTGCATGGTAGGATCCACCATGCTCCAAATGTAGCACCCTCAATTTATTTGTATTTAAACTAAGGTCAACACCCTCTACTAGGTGGATTTAAAAAATTCCTTCCCCCAAAACAGTTTCCCAATTCTTGAATCCATCACCTGTCAGAGTCACCTACCAGAAAGTCTGCCATTTTCTCTAGCATGTTGGACCAGTGCAGCCTGAAGGTCTGGTCTCCCCAAGAGCTGATGAAGTAGACACAGGGCTTCTTATCCTCAAATGGCAAATAATTGTAATTCCTGTGAAAACAATTAGGTCTGGAAGTTAGTTGGTAATCAGTGTTTTCCAGGCAACCCCAGTCACATGTTAATGTTCTGTATGTTGTAGGCAGGACTGGAAAAGGCATGGTGACAAAACTATCAACCTTTTAACACCATCCTTCATCTGTAACTGAGGACCTGTGAGCAATGAACAATGAACAGTTAGATGGCTACAGTGGAGAGGTATTAACAGCTACCATCGGAACCGGAACAAAGCTTAGAAATGATCACTAGAGGGCGGGATTTTCTTTTTTAGGCAGGCCTTTTACAAGAAGGATGGTTTACTTTTTATTTATTTAATTAATTTATTTATTTTTAAAAGGCAGGGTCTTGCTCCATCACCTAGGCTGGAATACAGAAGGAGGGTGGTTTTAAATGAGAGAGGACAAAAGTGAAGTGTTTTTAGTTTCTATGTGCCAGGCATGTGTGAAAGTCAAAATAACAGATGTATTCCATAGTGGCCGGACCAGTTCACATTCCCAACAGCAGCGTAGAAGTGTTCCCTTTTCACTGCATCCACACCAACATCTATTATTTTTTGATTTTTTGATAATGGCCATTCTTGTGGGAGTAAGGTAGTATTGCAATGTGGTTTTGATTTACATTTTCCTGATCATTAGTGACACTGAGCATTTTTTCATATGCCTTTTGGCCATTTGTATATCTTCTTTTGAGAATCGTCTATTCATGTCCTTAGCCCACTTTTTGATGAAATTTTTTTCTCGCTAATTTGAGTTCCTTGTAGATTTTAGTTATCAGTCTTTTGTCAGATGTACAGATTGTGAAGATTTTCTCCCACTTTGTGGGTTGTCTGTTTACTCTGCTGACTGTTCCTTTTACTGTGCGAGAGCTCTTTAGTTTAATTAAACCCCACCCACTTATCTTTGTTTTTGTTGCATTTGCTTTTGGGTTCTTGATCATGAAATCTTTGCCTAAGCCAATGTCTAGAAGGATTTTTCCGATGTTATCTTGTAGAATTTTTATAGTTTCAGGTCTTAAAGAACTAAAACTAGAACTACCATTTGATCCAGCAATTCCACTATGGAGTATCTACCCAGAGGAAAATAAGTCATTATCGAAAAAGAATATGCACAAGCATGTTTACAGCAGCACCGCTGACAAATGCAAAAATGTGGAACCGGCCCAACTGTGTGTACACGTGTAGACACTGCAGTTTGGAATGGAAGACAGAGTTTGTAGAGTGGCCAGAGATGAAGGTGGAGAAGTAGCCTGGGATCCAATCCATAAGGTATAGCCTCTGGAATCCAGTTGTTCTTTTTAGTTCTCCCATACAAGTTTCTTCAGAAGGAGACAATAAAATGAGTGAAGGTGCCCTATACTCTGTTCTGCAGAAAATAAACCAGCAGGTATTTATTCAGAAAAGAAGCCACATAAATTTTTGGCAGAAAATGAGGTTGTTATTACAACAGAAGAACACCAACAAAGTTTAGAAACCAAACTCCTCTATTTTACCTCTTTAAAAATTATTGCACTAAGAATCCTGCAGATAAATAAATTCCCACCCAAAATTTTACTTTGTCTCAAGGTTTCTTTGGTTTGGGTCATTTGGTGCTAATGATGTTCAAGGCCTTTGTCCCTTTGGTTCTCAGGGACCTCCTAGTCTTAGCGTGTCTACATGGACGAGGATGCTGTGGCTTCCTAGGCAAACTGCAGTGCAGCTGGAGGGCAGCAGATGGGAAGGTGCTGTGCTGCTGGTGGAAAGAGAAGACTGCCAGACCGAATGGCTATCCTGACACAGGAGCAGCCTTGTGACGTTGGGTCCTCACATGATGACCTGCCACTGGATATCTTATTCTCCAGTCTCATTCCAGAGCTCTGGCCTAGTAAATACACTACATGTAAATGCTTGTGCTTTGCAAAACTGGAAAGCCCAGAACAAATGCAAGGTGACATTTTAATGGGGGCAACAAGTAAGTTGTGTGTGCTCATATATATGTACACATGCATGTATGTGTATGCATATATGTGCACATATGTATAGGGATCTTTTATAGACAGAGCATTTTCCATCTTGGCTGCTGCCTCCCTGGCTTGTGACTACCCAGACATAACCTCAATGTGGTGACTGAAGAAAGTATAGAAAGCCCAACTGTACAAAAAAAAAATGCCAGTATGACTTACTTTAGTCTCTTTGAGCCAGCAGGCCAGCACTAACATGAGGTGCATCCAAGGATGGTTTGAGACCTCTCATCTCTTCCTAAACCCTTCCCTTACCAGCCACCCCTGAAATCCCCACCAACAGTCAACAACGGCTAGTCCATCAAGGTGGACAATATCTTTACTGACTGGCGCCAGTGCAGAGATACAGAGTACCTCTGAGTAGTCTCAGAACAGTTCCCCAGAGCTCCAGATCCAGCTGTTCACTCACTGATGTCCTCAGTTTTGAGAATAAAGTTAAAGGACCGAGGAATTTGAGGTTCTCCCTGGTGTTGTACAGAATCTCCTATAAACAAGTATGGCTTTCAGGGAACCAAAAAAAGACCCCAAAGAAGGTGATTCATGGAACTACAGGGTTTAGAAAACGCAGGGAATGCTCAGAAACAAGAGGACGAACAGCTAAGACTGTTTCAACTGACACCATTCTGCTTTGTCCTAAACGCTCTCCCTCAATCCCTTAAGTACATTCTCATTCTTTAAGATGTTATCCTTTCTGTGACCTTTCCCAACTCCTTCCCTCCTCCCCAGTGGGATTAGTTACTCACCTGACTCTGTACCCATGGTACTCTGTACCCGTTCCAGTTATAGTAATTCCTTAACTTATTCAAAAACAATCATGAGCACCTACTACCATTCATTGGTCACAAAGATGATCAGATATGCGTGTGAATAAGGCATAGTCCCTTGCCTCAACATGCTCCCAGTTTAACAGAGGAGAGAGACAGGTAAAAACATCTTCAATCAGTGCTGAGGGAGGTGATAGAAGTCCAAATCAGACTAGGGATTCAGGGAAAGGAATTGGCTTTGTGTTGAACCTAGCAGATCTGTTGCCAGGCAGAAGGAAGAGTGTGTTCAAAGGTCCAGAAGCAGCACACAGCAGGACATATTGGGAAACTGCCAGGGGCCCTGCAGTTTGGAATAGAAGACAGATAGAGTTTGTGGAGTGGCCAGAGATGAAGGTGGAGAAGTAGACGGATCAAATCCATAAGCTATGGCCTCTGGAATTAATCTTGAAAGCCACAAGGAGTCAATGAGTGATGTGAACCAGGGGAGTGACTGGTTCATGTAGTTTAGTGAAGTTCTTGAATAAGATCCAAGCCAGGTAGGAGGTTTTATTGTTGTTATTTTCTAGTAATCCAGGCTGAAGATACCAATGGCCAGAATGTTTAAAATGGCAATAGATATGAGAAATACTTAAGAACTGTATCGACTGACTATCACTGAGCAGATAAACATTGGAAGGAAAAGAGAACAGTTGACAGTTTCTTATCTGTGGCATGGAGGACTCAGAAAGGTGGGCTCAGTCTATGAGACAGAAAAAATAGGGAAAGAAGAAAAGTTGTCGGTGAAGACAATGAGCCTGGTGAGTAATCTGTGGGACATCCAAGTGGAAGTGCTTAGATCTGCTGCTCAGGAAAGAGGACTGTCTAGGAAAACAGATTTGGGAGTCTCTGTTATCCTGAGAGTGGTCATGGGTCAGTCCCCAAAAAGTGTCTAGATTGGAAAGAACAGAGGGACTGAGGAGCGTAGCGATGTAGCCTTCTCAGGGCCATGCGGCACCTCCATTCCCTTCGCATGTAAGACGTGGAAAGAAACATGATTTCATGAGGATCCAATGACATCATAGATATTTCAAGATCTGGCAACAAAAGACTCTCCCTTCTCATTTGATCGATACTTGACCCTACTCTCTTTTTAAAAATTCTATAATTTTACTTCTATTTGCAGGTTAAAAATTTGCATGGATTAAAGGAGATCAGTGAGAGTACATGTAAGTGCCCCCAGCTGCTTTCTGAAATGATCTTTTCTGGTTCTTGAAAAAATTTTTTTTGAGTCTTTCAGTTTGCAAACGACTCTGTCAAAAATAAGATAAGAAATTATGTATTCAATAATCCCATCATTGAATTTATATAACAGCAGAATTCTGATGAATATAATAAGAGGGTTTGGATTTAAATTGTAAATTCTGAACTTCCTATGTTATTATGCTTCACTTAAAGAATAAACGGTGCTTCAGATATAATCATCATCATCATCATTGCTCTGCCTTTAAATGAATTACCTCGGTGTGTCATCTGGAGTAAATTCAGTTGAGTGGTACTTACCATCTTGCCCCTGTTTGCACCTTGTTCCCATAGCTGAGATTTAAAAAATCATGTTTCTGATTTTACTGAAGAACTGAAGGAGACAGTTCTAGAAATTGGACAAAATCCCACCACCAAAATCCTTGGCTATTCTCCCCGGCTGTGTCTCCTACCTGTTCCCTTCCATCACCAGTGGCTTCTCTGGGTGAGTGGTGGAGGCCATAGGAATGGGAGCACCATGGGCCGCATCCCCTTGTCCTTCCTGAAGCAGTGGAAGGAGGTCTTCTTCAGCTGATTCAGCTGACTTCTTACTCCCATGATGGGACCCTCCATCAATCAGGTTTCCAAAATTACCTGCAGAGGCAGTAGCAAGAAGAAAGGGGGTGGGTCTCAGTAACCAGAATCAGTCTACTTGGCATAAAGGATCTAAGCTCAGGTTCTCCCATGGCAATAAGGTAAGCTCTCATTATGAAGGTGGAAAGAGCATGGTCAGACCAAAGACAGAAGACTGACGATGATCAACTGTCATCTCTATCCATCTTATTTTCTCTTTTGTAATAAGTACACAAATGACAAAGTAGAAAACACAATCAACCCTCTCCTCCTGATAAAGGAGTTGTAATACTTTCCATCTAGTTTAAAAAAAAGAAAAACACAACCACAATCAACTAAAAAAAGGACTCACTAGAAATCACAAAACTGTTCTAACCATTTAAACATTTTAGTGTATAACCCTGCAAAACTATTTATAGAGATGTTGGTAAAGAATCATATGTTATTTTGTAACCTGTCTTTTTTGTTATGAACATCTTTCCAAATCTGCTTCTACTCTAAGAGAAGTCTTTCTTATCTAAATCCCCAAAGACAATATCATGTTTGAGAGAGAGAGAGAGAGAAACGGGACAGGGAGAGAGGGAAGGAAAACATCATTTTTTCCCCTACCAACAGTTCAGCTTTTGTGCTACAAACATCTTTGTATAGGAATAGACATTGCCTGCAGGCATATTGGCATCATTGATCTTTCCATTTTGTAATCTGATTTCAAATGCTTAAAATATTTAGATGAACATTCCTGTCTTTTGGAAAGAGCCCCAAAGCTAGCCATATTATAGAGTTGGTTGACTTTGTTCAAATCAAGAAAGGTTCAGGATCAAAAGCCCATAATCACAAGGACCCCTTAACTTGGGAAGCCTTCCTAACTTCTCCCTCCCTGACCCCTGCCTCTCCTCTACAGGATGGCCAGGTGTCACTACTCTGTCTTCCTGCAGTAGCCATTGGTGGTGTCCCACCCAGATCCTCTTTACCAGGAAGGAGCCCCCAAATGCCAGATACTGAGATGGCTGCTAACAGCTTACAACAGCCACCTTCCATGGAGAATTACCCTCTAATGATGGAGTCTGCCTCTCCCCAGAAGATTATAAGGCCTCCTTCTTGTGCCTGAAGCCACTCACAGCTAGGTATGGGGATGTAAAAGCCCATCCCACTTGCCTCAAAGTGGGGCCAAGTCTGTGATGTCACTTGTTTGAGAGCTTCTCACAGAATCAGGCTGTGGCTGGTCTCCCCGCCCTCAGAGACCTGCCCTATGCTACATCACCCACTTATTTTATCTTATTTTCTCTTCTATAATAACTACACAAATGACAAAGTAGAAAACACAATCAACTAAAAAAAGAGTCACTAGAAATTATAAAACCGTTATAACTATTTTAAACATTACAGCATATAACCTTGCAAAAAAAAATTTTTTTTTTTGGAGTTTCGCTGCTGTTACCCAGGCTGGAGTGCAATGGCGCAATCTCAGGTCACCACAACCTCCGCCTCCTGGGCTCAAGCAATTCTCCTGCCTCAGCCTCCCGAGTAGCTGGGATTACATGCACGCACCACCACGCCCAGCTAATTTTTGTATTTTTAGTAGAGACGGGGTTTCACCATGTTGACCAGGATGGGGTCTCGATCTCTTGACCTCGTGATCCACCCGCCTCGGCCTCCCAAAGTGCTGGGATTACAGGTGTGAGCCACTGTGCCCAGCCGCAAAACTTTTTATAGAGATGTTGATAAAGATCTCCTGAGAGCATGCCACCCAAACCTCACACATATAAGAATCTTCCCAAGTTTTGTTTCTGGGAAACTAACCTAAACAGGTCCCTAATGTCACATCATATTCCCATCATTCCTCTGCCATCTTGTTTTCAGATAATTTACTTAGATGTCTGCAAATGTCTTGAGAATGGAAAGAGTATCTTGCTAATTTTTGTGTCTCCACTAGTCATGGAGCAAACACAGGGAGGGTCTTGATTCATATTTAGTGAATCAATGACCTCAGTGTGTTACTATGTTCATAAGAGTCTTTCTTCCATTTCAATCTAATTCATTCTTTTCTTCCCTTCTCCATTATTCCTATCTTAGGAATAATACTAAAATACCTGAGAGAGGCATAAACATATTCTAGAAAGAGGAGGAAACTTAGAGTTAGCAGGCCTTGTTTGAGTCCTTTTTGTAAAATTCACCGACTATATAAACTGGGGTGGTTATTTGACCTCTCTGGATGTCCATTATGGCTGAAACCATTGAATTTGTGGTAAATCAATCACAAAGGCAGAGCACAAGGGCAGAGAAGGAGAATAATTAGCTGGGTTTTTTAAATAGCACAACAGGGAAGATAATTGAGTCAACTGGGAAGACTGTGGCTAAAGGGATGAACCATGCAGTCTGAGATGGACAGAGATGAAAGTGAAGCAGAAGAAAGGTTTGCGTATCTCCATGAGTCAAAGGGAAGATACAGTAAGAGACAATGAGAAGAATGGAGGGCAGGGCCAGAGAATAGGCTACTGGAGAGAAGGTCAGAAGTGGGGACACTCCCCTATGAAGCTCACTACCTCCCTGTGAACCAAGTCACTTTCCTGCCTATTAGCAAGTTCTTTCTTGGATAGACCCCAAATCATCCTATTTTTCATGTATGTCCATGTGTTCTTAGACCCATTCTAGAGTCCCACATTATAAGCCTCCTTCTCTAGTCCTCTGACGCTTGAAGCTCGCTGCCAGGCCTTTCTCAGTCCCCACTCAAACCTCTCTTCTCAGAGCCAACCCTCCTGGGTCCCTCTGCCCTCTCTCTAGAAATGCATGTTCCCAAAATGTATCTCTACTTTCTGGTCATGCAGACAGGAGATTGTTTGTTAGGCTTCTAGCTGTATGGCTTAAGGGGCTGTATTTTATTTTTAAATTTTTTATTGCATTTTAGGTTTTGGGGTACATGAGCAGAACATGCAAGACAGTTGCGTAGGTACACACATGGCAGTGTGTTTTGCTTCCTTTCTCCCCTTCACCCATATTTGGCATTTCTCCCCAGGCGATCCCTCCCCACCTCCCCCTCCCACTGGCCCTCCCCTTTTCCCCCCAATAGACCCCAGTGTTTAGTACTCCCCTCCCTGTGTCCATGTGTTCTCATTTTTCATCACCCGCCTATGAGTGAGAATATGCGGTGTTTCATTTTCTGTTCTTGTGTCAATTTGCTGAGAATGATGTTCTCCAGATTCATCCATGTAAGGGGCTATATTTTATCTCTACTTTTTCCTGCACTGTTGAAAGAGAGCTTCCTGAATATAAATCACAACCTTCTATGATGGAATGCTCTTTCTGGGAATGGCTTTCCAGTTGCAAATCTTCCCAGGAAGATTTGGGGAGTTACATAATAACATCTGCTGTACACATGGCACTCGTTTGCCTTAACTCCTTAAACTTTTGTAGCAACTGTATGAGGAATTATTATTCCCATTTCACAGATAAAGAAACTGAGATTCAGAGACATTAAGTGAACTCTGGGTAATGGAACCAGGATTAGGAATCCAAGTCCATCTGAATCCAAACCTATAGTCTTAATCACTTTTGTGAAATATGAAAATAAATCTAAATTAAAAAAGAAATCTAGAGAGAAGGTGGAGCAAGATGGCCAAATAGAACCCTGAAGTGATCATATCCCACAGAAAGATCAAATTAAACAATTATTCATACAAAATAAGCACCTTCATGAGAACCAAAAATCAAGCAAGTTATCACAGTACCTCGTTTTAACATCATATTAAGGAAAGAAGCACTGAAGAAGGTAGGAAAAAGGTCTTGAATTGCCTGTAAGTGATTCTCTCCTCCCATCCTGCAGCAGTGGCCAAGTGGTGTGGAGAGAAAATCTGAGCACTTAGGGATAAAAAAAATGCAGTGATTGTGGAATTTTGCATTGGAACTCAGTGCTGCCTTGTCACAGTGGAAAGCAACACCAGGCAGAACTCAGCCATCGCCCACGGAGGGAGCATCTAGACCAACCTTAGCCAGAGGCAAATCGTCCATCCTAAGTTCTAGCAAGCTTTGCCACTGCAAGCTGAGGTGCTCTGGGATCCTAAATAAACTTGAAAGACAGTCTAAGCCACAATGACTGCAATTCCTGGAAAAGTCCTGGTGATATGCCAGGCTCAGAGCCAGTGGACTTGGGGTGCACATGCCCTAGTGAGACATAAGCTGGGGCAGCCAAGGAATTTTCACTCCTCTCCCAACACTAAGTAGCACAGCTTGCAGCTCTGGGAGGGACTCCTTTCCTCTGCTTGAGGAGGGGAGAGAGGAGAGTAAAGCTGACCTAGCCTTGCAACTTGGATACCAGCTCAGTCACAGTAGAATGTAGCACCAGGCAGAGTTGTAAGACCCACATTTCAGGCCCTAGCTCCCAGATGACATTTCTAAACACACCTTGGAACAGAAGGCAACCCTCTACCCTGAAAGCAAGGACCCAATCCTAGCAGAATTAATCATCTGCTGACTAAAGAGCTCTTGGGCCTTGAATAATCAGCAGTGGTAGCCAGGCAGTACCCACCACGGTCCTTGGGTGAGACTCAGCACCATGCTAGCTTCAGGTGGGACCCAACATATCCCCAGCTGTGTTAGCTACAGGGAGAGGAAAACGAGAGGAAGGAATAAAGGGGACTTTGTCTCACAGCTTAGGTATCAGCTAGGCCACAGTGAGGTAGAGCACCAAGTAGGCTCTTGGGGTCTCCGATTTCAGGCCTTCACTCTCCTAGACAGCATTTCTGGACCTGCCTTGGGCCAGAGCAAAGCCCATTGTCATGAAGACTGGAAGCTTTTATCATAAAGAGCCCTCGGGCCTTGAGTGAACATTGGTAGTAGCCAGGCAGTACTCGCTGTGGACCTAGGGTGGAGGTGATCATGGGGGAGACTCCACTGCTCGAGGAGAGAGAAGAGTAAAAAGGATGTTGTCTTGCAGCTTGGGTGCCAGCTCAGCTACAGTAGAATAGAAAACCATTTAGACTTCTAAGGTTTTAGACTCCAGGTCCTGGCTCCCAGATGATATCTCC